CCCGGTGCACATGGTGCACACACCCACTTGCCTAGGGGAGCAACAAGCCCTCCAAGCGGGGAAGACCCAGCCCACTGAGATATGTGTTTATGCCTGCCAGGCTTATTGCAACCAGTGGAACTCCTTGCTAGAGCAAATTGTGAAGATCAGGGTTCAAAAAAGGACTCTTGTACATTTCAAAAGCAGAAGTGCCAGGAGTGGGAACTGGTATGCTTCTGTTTCCATCCCACAGTGGAGACATGGTGGTGGGAACCTAATTGGTTCTTCCCAGCACAGGCTCCTGCTCCCTTCCACCTAGTAGTTGACTAGTTGCTTAGGCTAGTCACTTACATCTCTAAAGCCAACTGTGTTTTGCACCATGTTCAGAACCATTTACAGGACTCACCTAACAGCTGGCTGACAGATGATCCACTCTCAGGGGCTGTGTCTAGACTGGCCAGTTTTTCTGGAAAATCAGTTGCTTTTCTGGAAAAACTTGCCTGCTGTCTACACTGTCTGCTTGAATTTCCGCAAAAGCACTGATTTCCTACTGTAAGAAATCAGCGTTTTTTGCGGAAATACTATGCTGCTCCCATTCGGGCAAAAGTCCCTTTTGTGCAAAACTTTTGCACAAAAGGGCCAGTGTAGACAGCTGAGATTTGTTTTGCGCAAAAAAGCCCTGATCTTTTTTGTGGAAAAGTGCATCTAGATTGGCACGGACGCTTTTCCGCAAAAAGTGCTTTTGCGGAAAAGTGTCCGTGCCAATCTAGACGCTCTGTGCCGAAAATGCTTTTAACGGAAAACTTTTCTGTTAAAAACATTTCCGGAAAATCATGCCAGTCTAGATGTAGCCAGGCAGTTTATCCAAAGCCTGAATTTGTCCTATACAGTGTTGTAGTTTGACAATTAGCTAGTCAGGATTCCAGACCAGAGAGCTAATAATAGTCTTGCTCTGTTGTGATCAGTACTTGGTTTCTCATTTGGCTTCTGAGGGAATGAGTTCTAATGCGGGCGGGGGGAGAGAAGAGGTGCAAGCTTTTTTATTCATATTCCCATTTGCATATTTCCAGACCTTGCTGCCTTAGGATGCTTTACAGTTGTATCAAATATTTAGACAGCATCCTGAACACTGAGGTTGGACAGGTCAGAGGGAGTTTTGCAAATATCTGTTTTAATTTCTTGTGCAAGGTCACCAGAAAGAGGTAAGAGGGATGGAGGGGTGGACTTTGCAAATACATTTCACCATATTTAATTCCCATGCCATATCCCATTCTCTAGTGATGCAGCTACGGGAACTTTATAAAGACGAGAATATTTAATTTCTTATGCACTAGCCCCTGCACCATCCATGATACACGTACATCGTGTACTGAATGTCCAGTTATTACAATGGCTCTCATCCTGCTATGGTTGTGGGAGGATGAGCGGGGACGCAGCAACAAGACCCGAGCCATTTTGCTATGGACAGAGGTGCTCAAAGCCCAAGCAAGCCTTTGAGCCTGCGTACAGAAGAGTTGCCACACACAATATGGCGGCCAAGCCTGGGTCCTTCCCCTACCGACAAGCCCTGGCCAGGGGGACCTCCTTCAGGGCCCCGACATGCCCAGGAGGACCTCAGCAGCCCACGCAGGTGCCTGTAAGAATCCATCACGAGAAGGCCGTGACTCCCTAATCGGAAACAGCCGTTGCTGCAGAGCTGAGTACAGCGAGCTCCACTCGGGCCTTCAATCTTCTTGTAAGCCTGGGTCCTTCCCCTACCGACAAGCCCTGGCCAGGGGGACCTCCTTCAGGGCCCCGACATGCCCAGGAGGACCTCAGCAGCCCACGCAGGTGCCTGTAAGAATCCATCACGAGAAGGCCGTGACTCCCTAATCGGAAACAGCCGTTGCTGCAGAGCTGAGTACAGCGAGCTCCACTCGGGCCTTCAATCTTCTTGTCGGGGGGGCGTTCAGCATCTGCGCGGGGACGGGGGAGGCCGGGGCGCCA